TTTTGTAGTAGTTCATATCCAAAAAATAAAATAAATTAAAAAAATGAAATAATTTTCCTACCTACCGACCCTATTTTTTTCAGGCTGGTAGCAGGAAACAAGACTATTATTTTTTTTGGCCTAACTAAAGAATAGAAGAACTAAAAGACATATGTAAAAGAGCAAAAACCCTAACTTTCATCCATTAATAAAACAAGATGTGTTTGTGAAACACTATGCGCCCGGCGGCAACAAAGTTCAAAAAATCTATTTTTTGCATATTGGTCACAGTCAAGGTCACAAGGTCATTGACCATGGTGTCATTTGAAAGCACTTAATCGGTGGAGTATGCATATCAAATATGAAGTCCTTATCTCCTATGGTTAAAAAGTTATGACAGACAGTGGAAAAAGCTATTTTTAGCATATCGGTCACAGACAAGGTCAAAAGGTCATTGACCTTGGTGTCATTTGAAAGGACTTTATTAGTGGAGTATGCATATCAAATATGAAGTCTCTATCTCTTATTGTTCAAAAGTTATGGCAAAAAGTGTAAAAAGCTATTTTTAGCATATAGGTCACAGTCAAGGTCACAAGATCATTGACCTTGTCATCGTTTAAAAGGAGTTTATTAGTGGAGTTAGCATATCAAATATGAAGTCCCTATCTCCTATGGTTAAAAAGTTATGACAGACAGTGGAAAAAGATATTTTTAGCATATAGGTCACAGACAAGGATACAAGGTCATTGACCTTGGTGTCATTTGAAAGGACTTTATTAGTGGAGTATGCATATCAAATATGAAGTCTCTATCTCTTATTGTTCAAAAGTTATGGCAAAAAGTGTAAAAAGCTATTTTTAGCATATAGGTCACAGTCAAGGTCACAAGATCATTGACCTTGTCATCGTTTAAAAGGAGTTTATTAGTGGAGTTAGCATATCAAATATGAAGTCCCTATCTCCTATGGTTAAAAAGTTATGACAGACAGTGGAAAAAGATATTTTTAGCATATAGGTCACAGACAAGGACACAAGGTCATTGACCTTGGTGTCATTTGAAAGGACTTTATTAGTGGAGTATGCATATCAAATATGAAGTCTCTATCTCTTATTGTTCAAAAGTTATGGCAAAAAGTGTAAAAAGCTACATGTATTTTTAGCATATAGGTCACAGTCAAGGTCACAAGATCATTGACCTTGTCGTCCTTTGAAAGGACTTTATTAGTGGAGTATGCATACCAAATATGAAGTCCCTATCTCCTTTTGTTAAAAAGTTATGACAGACAGTGGAAAAAGCTATTTTTAGCATATAGGTCACAGGGTGTCAGGTCATTTCTCTCTAAAAAATTTTCTCTCCCAGGTTATTTCTCTCTCCTACCATTTCACGGTAGGTCATTTCACGGTAGGTCATTTCTCTCTCCTTCCTGGGTCATTTCACCCCATTTTTAATCTGGTCTTATATAATAATTAACATTTCCATTCTTGTGTTATTATAACTTTTGTCTCGTAAAATAAATTAATTTTATCAATTTATGACCAATAAAATTCGAACAAGAGAATGTATCGGAATTTATTTACAGTGGAAAATTTTTAATATTTGATATTAATGAAAATAAATTGATACCATTGTCCAGCCCTTGCTACGTGGCGGCCTCCTCTGTTAAGGGTTATAATTTTGAAAGAAAAATTTTAACTCAATTATAATAAATTAATTTGTTAAAATAATTAATTTTTACCATAGCCGATGATGAAGTTTTGTCTATAATCTGAATTTTATATAGATACTGATCAGAAAATAGACATGACATAGAATAATAGCTGCAGAACATGGCTCTCCGAAAAGAAAAATATTGACAGACCGGTTCAATACATTTTCTTTCTTTTCTGCAGCTAAAAAAAGATAATTTTTAGAAAACAAAGGATACTTCAAAAAATATATTATGAAACCAGATACACATGTAAAAGTATGTAAATGTTTACCAATATTTATTTTGATAATTGTATATTATAAAACTATAAATAATAAGAACGCGAAGAAAATAATGACGTAAATGAAAAAACCTAAAATGCAATATTTTCAAGGTATACAAGATTAACAAAGTAGCCAAACAACATAAATTAACGGCCGGGAATGTAAACGGAAAAAAATATCTCTTAAAAATGAATTATAAGACATCGAAAAGGAACTTACTCGGTGTGGCAATAGACACCTCCACAACTTCGCCGGAAATGGCTAGTAAATTTTAATATGTTTAAAGTACTAGTATATTGCACCATTAAAACGATTCTTACATGTATGAATCTAATGTGAGAAAAATTATTTAAACCCCCCCCCCCCTTTTAATATAATGCAATCTGCTGTGTTTACCACAATATTTCATGAAATAGAAAATACATTATCAGGACTGCATAAAATTTTGTTCAGGACTTGTAATCTTGATAATCTCAGTAGATGTCAAATAATCTACTGTCTCTAAAAGTTTACATATTCTTGGATTCAATTAAAAAAATCATCTCATTTTTATACGTATTTTATCCATGGCATTCAGTTTCAATTGTAATACCAGAGATCATAACTTTTAAGTACAAACAAAAATATTCCAACTATAACATAAACTTGAACTAGCTTTTTGAAAGGGGAAAGACGTATGACTCGATCTCATGTTAGATAAAATGATCTTTCGACTGTTCAATACTTCCGTTTTATTATCAAGGAGACATTTATGAGGTCTTTTACATGTATGCACATACATATTTACGCAAGAGAAAATAATGCAGAAAAATGTTTGTAACAATCAGGACATTTTAAATTGAAAATCCATGCATCAGTACATTAATTTTACGTTCTTATAATAAACTTGTTAATGTTGGGGGGGGGGGGGGGGGGGGAGGTCTGCCACTGTTGCACAGAGAAAACATATGTAATTTGGGGGAAAAATGAAATCTAAAAAGTTAAAATTTACTTGATTGTGAAAATGCATACATTTAGGATTAGTCATCTTGCCTTAAATTGTGATCGCTAGGAAGTATTACAGTAAATGTAAATGAGTTTTTATTCAATGTAATAAAAAGTGGGAACAAATTCTTATTTATAAAATAATTTGACTGAACACATCTTTGTACAAGTTGACATTTTTTTGTCTAAAGACAAGGAGATGTTGTGTTGTCAATCTGTGAAATCAACAATTTACGGATAAACATATGCACCCAGCATGATGATAAAAAATCACCTTGTAGGGTACCATAAAACCGCAAGACAGCAATTACGAATTCTAACAATTATTTATTTATTCCTGATAAAGAACATAAACGACAGATGACAGGACAATAAACAAATTCACTGTAGGTCTAATTGATAATGAATTTAATTGTTAAAGAAAGAAGATTAAAATAAAATATTTCTATTATCGCATTTAAAGTTATTCTATATTCCATTATAGCTGCAGAACTGTAGCTCTTCGATTTTTATTTATTTTATTTTTTTTTTTTTGACAGACCGCACTGTCAAGACAGTAAGTCTTAGTTATAGAATTAGTGAATAAAAATAAATAATCATGTGCCTCTGTCCTTTTGAAAAGCTAGTTCAAGATTTTATAAATTGATTAATTAAAACAAAAAAAAAAACAATAGATAAAGGAATGAATTAAATTATAAAAGAATTCTAAAAAAAAATAATTATTTAAATAAACGAGTGAATGCATAAATGTTTAAATTATGAATAAAATAAACAATAAATGTGTGAAGTCATAAATAAATAAAAAATACATCTGTGAATTAATAAATAAATAAATAAGATGAAATGAAATAAATAAAGTTAGCGTTAAATTCAGCGTTGGAATTAACAAAACTTAATAAAATTAAACTTATTACACTATAATTTTTGTGTTGGAGTGAAATGACCTAGGTTGTGGAGAGAAATGACCTGGGTAATGGAGGGAAATGACCCAGGAGAGAGATGACCTGGGCGGAAATGACCTAGGCGGAGCAGGTACTGGGGAGAAATGACCCGGATTCGGTCACAGTCAAGGTCACAAGGTCATTGACCTTGATATCATTTGAAAGAACTTTATTAGAGGAGTATGCATACCAAATATGAAGTCTCTATCTCTTTCGGTTTAAACGCTTTGGCGAAGGTTAAAGTTGACAACAGACAGACAGACAAACAGATAAACAGACAAACAGACAGGACAAAAACAATATGCGCCCCGAAAAAATTCTGGCGCATAAATATGACATTTCCGAGGTATGTGTATTGACTTTAAATGTACCATTACGATAAATAGATACATACGATCACCAATAGATGTAAAGAAATATCCTTGTCATCTCTACTCTTGATTTAAATAAAGTTCACAACAATAAAACATTTTATATGCAATTTGTTAGGATTTGTTCATCGACATTCAACGTGTTGTTTACATGTTTATGTTATGTTTGTCCCAGAAATCCCGCGAGATTCATACATTCTCCGACTTTTTCACAAAAGAGCGCACTAAGAACTATAACTCTACAATAGTGGAAATGGAATGTACTATCAATAAAGATTTATTTTAAAGTTCCTTAAATCAATATATTTCATATTTTTTTATTCGAAACTATGTCGTGGAGAAGAAATTAAAAATTTAGAAAAAAATCTTTAATGGAATAATATATCAAAGATATATTTCTCTTTGATAAATGATATTATTAAACTGCTTAAAATGAATTTTGTTCTCAATTTACAGTTTATTTTTCAAAAAACTTGCATACCAAACATTGACATGGGTATATGTGGGAGCATGAAGGGAAAGAAAACTCTGGATAGAGAAAGTATATTTCTAATTTGTGATTTTGTGTTTGCTTCATTCATCTATCTAAACCATTTCAATTTAGTATATCTGTGAGGCAACACCTGAACTGCTAGGCCTAATTTTGCCTATGTAATCCATTGCATAAAAACAGTGCAATACTAAACTTTAATACCTCAAAATCATTTTGTAAAATTAAAAAAACAATTCATAGTGCTACACAGGATACACTTACCTTAATGATTTCTTGCCCCATGACTCCTCCCACAATGGCACACACTGGACTCAATTCAGCAAAGCAGAAACTGTAAACAGTTATACAGTGTTAGAGTTTCTAAATTAAAGGAACTCTAGGCATGCCTGGTGTATTCTAAACGCAATACATGTACTAGTTTGGTCTCTTTAGAAGATGGTAATATGAATATAGTTTATAGTTTTTAAGACCATCAAATAAAATTATTTCAGGACATATAATCTTGTATCTTGTATATCTTTTCTTCTGATGCTAGGAAGGTCAAAATAATTTTTTACACTAGAATTCTAGGGGCAATGACATACATGTATGTGCTATGAGTGGTATCACTAACTCCCGTGGAAATAGAATCTAAAAAAATCAGCTTTGTTCCTCCCATTACAACAGTATGGGTGAGTACATTGTACGTAGCCTACCAGAAACAACAAAGGACCCACTGTAGATTACTAAACAGCTTAAGTTTCACTGCATCTTATTTTCATGAGATAAATGTACTTATTGACGAATTGTGCTATTGCTTTATATAATCTTTACATATACAAATATGATATATATGGCATGAATGAAATTTTTGCAATCAAACACACTGTCTGATATAAGTATGCAAAAATGAAGTTCCTGGGGGAAAAAAAATGATTTACAGTACCTGGCAAATTCATCTGACAGTAAGCTGGGACTGAGTTTCAGTTTCTCCAGGGTCGCTGTTTTCTGTTCTATTAATAACTTGATGTCGCTCTCTTTCTGTTTGACATCAGGTCGTCTGTTGTTCTTATTCATAAAGTCGTGTAACACTGCAAACACAAAAAAATTCATCTCTTAAAATTTTAGAAGGAGTACAATAAGATGTTTTTAAAATTAGAATGATTCAATTTTGATAAAAAAAAATACTAAATTAAACTCAGATTTCATCTAAATCGTCACATATGAAGTGTATTTTTAAGATTTGACACCTGAATAAAGCATAACATGAAGGTTTTTTCTAAACATTTATATTTAATACCGTAAAAGTAGAATATTTAGCAAGGATTTAATTTTGGCATTATTAGCAAGGGTGTTGACATCGCTAAAATTGAATATCGCTAAAAATTGATTGCATATTATTTGTAATAGCTTCTTAAGTTAAAATTTCAAAATCGCTAAAATTACTTCTCGCTAAAAATAAAATACCAGATTGGAAAAGATTGGAAATATTTTAATCACATGAAATACCGTATAAGTGGAAATTTTAGTGAGACGCAAATTTCAATTTCTACCTGGTAGAAATTGCTGAATTTGCTTCTCACTAAAATTTCCACTTATACGGTATTTCATGTGATTAAAATATTTCCAATCTTTAGTCATTTGTTCAACTCAATTTGTAAATAGCAATTTTTACCAAAGAAATTACAATAAAGAATTTGAAATCAAGGACAAAATAAAACAAGTGTTATTTATCTCAGACCTTGCAAGATGAAGTACGTGTTGGGAGTTCTTTTGAGTTTACGATGAGCAGATTGTGAGGACCAGTCAACATCTAACGCACTCTGTAGTCGACTGAAGGAAACACTCTACAAAACAGAAAAATAGATAATAGAGAAAAATACCAAAAGAAGTACAGTAAAACTCGTTTAGTACGAACACGGATAATGCGAATTTACGGATAAAGCGAAGCCATATTGGATCCCAAGCTATATGAATTTTACGTATTATTTATACGGATATAACGAATTACGGATATAGCGAAGTAAATTCATAGGTCCCAGCGACTTCGTTATAACCGAGTTTTACTGTAAACATTGTTCTCTTAAACAATACTGTACAGCTTAAGACAAAAGTTGGTCACATACACTGTACCTACAGGTTCACTCAGGATGGTTGTTTCTGGTCGGTACTGTATGATTTCAGTAACATATAATTTTTGTACCTTTTTCACTGTCACCATTTCTAATTCCTCCTTCTTTGCTTTTTTAGCTGCTGGTTTCCCGTCCTCTTCCTTTGGTTTGGGTTTCGGAACTTCTCTGAAAAATTCAAATAATCCTTCTAAATACCTGGGTTCATTAAAAACACTTGCTTTATAAAGCTTTAATGAAGTTAAACTTTTTTCATTATTCTTCCAACTCAATTTTCAAGCATAAATACAGTAAAGGGAATTATTGATGTGTAAATCACACAGACTTAAATATTACTTACTGATTGAAAAAAGTTAAAAGTACATGTGAACCTACTCTGCATATTCGTGTTCTCCTAAATCAGAAAACATGAAACCATAAAAACCAAACACATCCCCTCCGAAGAACTTGATTTTGTGTTCGGAGCAGATTTTGTTGATTCTGAGGAGAGTGGACTGTTTACAACACGTGGCGCACACAACGTCAAACTTGGTGAAGAAATCGTCAGCTTTCTCCTCTACGCTCTGTGTGTCTGCTGTCACCTCTACCATCGGATTCAGACGCTGAGTGTATTCTAGGGAAGCCTCAGCTCTCTGATAATTAAATATACAAAACATCCTCGACTTAACTGGCAACCAAGTGTTTAGAAGACCTTAGGATAAAAGAATATACTTTTTTCCTACATGTATATCATATATGCAAGCAATTAACACTAGGCTTACATTTTTACCCACGTCATCCCTGGAAATGAGGAATTGTGAACAATTGTCTTCTTCTGTAGACTGGAAAAAGAAAACAAAATTATGACAGTGTTACTCTTGTATCAGCATTAATCATTCTGTTTCACTACGCTCATCGCTTATCATTTAATCGCTAATTAACCCAGGTGGTACATTTGTAAAAATGAAAAAAAAAAATAAAAAAAAAAATACAGAATTGATAGTATTTCAATGTATACACATCTTGAATAATTATGTGATATGTTATAAATACAGTATTAAAATTTGCATGAATAATTCAGGGCTCTCACACCACTTTTTGGGACTGGGGCCGGGGCTGTTCAAATCAGGAAAATTATCGTCAATTTGGGAAAAGTTGGATAACAAACATTCATTAAAAAATCCTCAAATTTTGCTTTTCTAGCATTTTGTCATCAACTTAACTCTGGTTTTGAATAAATAGTTAAACAGAACAAACATGGGTACATAGGCTATTTTTAAAAGTACATTAGCTTTGTCATAACCATCTTTGAGTGTTGATATTATGGTTATATGTCTTTCTGAGTGACAGTCGCTAGTCACATAGTCCTGAATTTCCTCTATCACATGGACAACTTTGCTTACCAATACAGCGCGGGACTGAACATCCCAAAGCGTTGGTATGTTTCTAGGTGCAGTGTACTAATGTTTAAATGAAATGTCTATTTTTGAAACCAAAATGATGTTTTTCGTCGAAACTACATGACAAGATACTCTGCATTCATAGTTAGTATACATTTTTGTAAAAATAATTACCTGGCTCCCCGAACCAGTTTACGAATGCATTTGGCGCGAATCATTTGTACGAAACATTTATAGTTTAAAAGTCCATGATTTTGTTGCCTGAACATAGCTGGTCAGATTTTACAAACACGTCCCTAGGTCTTTTATACGCCCGGATCGATAGATCCAGGGCGTATATTGTTTTTGTCCTGTCTGTTTGTCTGTCTGTCTGTTGTCAACTTTAACCTTCGCCATAGATTTTGAACTATAAGAGATAGAGACTTCATATTTGGCATGCATATTCCACTAATAAAGTCCTTTCAAATGACATCAAGGTCAATGACCTTGTAACCTTGACTGTGACCTATATACTAAAAATAGCTTTTTCCACTTTTTGCCATAACTTTTGAACCATAGGAGATAGGGAATTCATATTTGGTATGCATACGCCACCAATTAAGTTCTTTCAAACGACACCAAGATCGGTCAATGACCATGTGACCTTGACTGTGACCAATATGTTAAAATAGATTTTTCGAATTTTGTTGCTGCCGGGCGCATAGTGTTCCACAAACACATCTTGTTTTCATTTAGTTTGAAAGACCTTGTGAGATTGTAACATTTATGTCCATTTTTCCAAGGGGGTACTACCGGGGGGTATAACATAGTAATGTTTCACAAAAAATAAACACCTAAAACATTTAATGCATGATACGTGAACATGTACATCATAGAACAGAAGATTGGAATTGATTTTGCTCGAAAATCAAACTTTATCTAATTCAAAATTTTAATACATTAGTACATAAAATGAAACTGACAAAATTAATGGTTGTTGGCTTGAAAAAAGAAAATAAGGGCCTATGCCAGGCTCGAACCTAAAACTGTTCGCTTAGAGCGCACTGAACAGGCAGCCCTACTTACTGAGCTATCGTCGCTACTCATATACAGTTGATTTAAAAAGGACAAAGAAGCTCAAAATTTACACATTTGTATTTTTTGGAAAAAAGTTCATTTTTGTGGTCCCTGGGTCTTCTCTCCATTTTTTAAATATGTGTATTCGTTTCTTTGAATTAAAATACACACATATAATGTTTCAAAATCAGGGAGAGAAGACCCAGAGATAGAAAAATTCTAGAAAAACGTTTTTAAAATGGTACCATTTTGTACAAAATGTCTGATCTGGCCAATTTTTTTAGCAAATCAAAGCTCAATTTCGGGAAAATATTATCCTTTCCTGTTGCACAGGAACCTGATAAATAAAAAAAGAATGAGTGCAATTAAGTACGTCATTTGGAACCTTTTCGGCTACCCATTTTAAGCTTAACATTGCAATATATCGCTAAATTAATCTATGATTAATGTGCAAACATATGCTATTGAAATTTATTTCTAGAATTTTTTGTCATACATATTTCTATGATTACAGAAAATGTAATTGAAAAGAACATGTAAAAGCCTTAAATTTCGGAAATTTGAACGGGACCACTTTCGAATCTAAGGTATCCGCAAATAGGCGGAGACGGTTGTGGAATGTAAACATTAGCACATATGATTTTTTCGCATTGCGAATTGATATAGAGAAGAGAGAGAGATCGTGATGATTTCATGGTGCACAATTATTAAATGATTCTAATTTTAAGGGATGGGGTAAATGTGTCGCTGTGCAAACCATAATACAGAGGCGACATAAGCCTATACATGTACTTATACTAATGACACTCTCAATACCAGAATTCTTTCAAAACACCCCTAATGAAAAGCATAAAGATAAATAAGAGACATATTATATTCAAACCCTATTAAAATTTGCGCAAAAATCTCTCATAGTTTGAAGTTTGAAATACGAAAGATAATGTCACAACAGAGACTTAAACACAATGAAATTTTCAATGAAAGCGTTAGCGTATCGAACAGCAGAAGGTCACGTGAGAAAGGTGATTATAATATCAATCGTTGTTGCTCAGTGACCGGCTAATTTAGTAGCTACCTCGACCCTAGTTTGGGGACATTTTTTTGAAAATTAGATATGAGCCGCAACTTGGCCAACATTGTCCTTTGGATATGTATAAGTTTAAGTTAAAATACATATTCTGTGCAAATAAGAAAAATGGCCAAGTTGCGGCTCGATGTAAACAAAGTCGTTGAAAACTGGTATGCATATGAATAACAATAGATATGAGACAAAACTGTTAGACCTCGGTCTCAGAAGCTAGTGTCGTTCGGCATTATTTAATACTTTCATGTAATATAATATACCAAAACCTGCTCTTAAGACATTGTTAAATACCTATAAAACATGAATTTAATGAATTTTGGAATTTTATTTTGCACAAAACATCGGGATCCAATTCTCATGGCTTACATGCACTCATTCTTTATAAAATTTCATGTGAAATCTCGATAAAATTTTCAATACAGTTGAAATTGCCATAGACACTAACGACTTGTCAAAACTGTTTACTTTAACATCCAATTTACAAAGATACAGAAATCTTCCACCCAAAATTATGCCATCTTTTCCCAAATTCATTCCAGGAAAATTCCAAGGAGAAGAATTAATAAAACTATTTGGATCCTTATCATCAAGTTCCTTGACTTCAGATAAACATGGCTACAGCATGAAGACAACACAGAAAGCACCAGAAACTGGATCCTCTCCTCCAGTCAAACAGCTGCTTGATGAACCAGAGACTGTCACCACAATAGATACTGAGTATAGTCAGTATACAGGTGTATCCAACATGTCACGTAGAGTCAACAATGTTGCCTCTCTGAGTGATGAAGAAATCTGGACAAGTGGAAATGACATCGTCATGAAACTCTTCAGCATCAATCAGGGATCACTACTCAAGTCAATCACAACCAATTCAGGGTACACACCATGTGACATAGCAGTGTCAAAAAGTGGAGATCTAGTTTATACTGATTACAGTGATAGAACTGTGAACATTGTGAAGAATGAGAAGATAGAGGAGGTAATCAGACTACAGAACTGGAAACCCCACGGTGTCTGTAGTACCTCCTCTGGTGACCTCCTGGTTATCATGGACAGTTATGATTTCAAACAAACAAAAGTTGTCCGTTACTCTGACTCCACACAGAAACAAACCATTCAGTTTGATGAGAAAGTTAAACCTGTCTATTCATCTGATGATTATAATAAATACATAATAGAGAACAGGAACCTGGATATCTGTGTGTCTGACTGTGAAGCTAAAGAAGTAGTGGTGATCAATCAGGCCGGGAAAGTGAGATTCAGGTACACTGGACATACTCCTGCTCCAAGGAACAAACCATTCCGTCCACGAGGAATCACCACAGACAGTCAGAGTCACATCCGTACAGCTGATGCTAACAATCACTGTGTCCACATTATAGATCAGGATGGACAGTTCCTCTGTTACATAGACTGTAGACTGAGTGAACCCTGGGGACTGTGTACAGATACATATCACAATCTGTTTGTTGCTGAATTCAGACAGAAACAAGTGAAAAAAATCAAATATTTGTATTCTATATAAATAAATAAACCAGTTATGCAATATTACTGATATATAATTATGCGCACTATGGAAATTTGCAAAACACATACAATTTTGATATTTTTTTCTTATTGAATTGATCTTAAGGTTTTTAAACTCATGTTTTAATTTCTTTTGTCTTTTATCAAGCTAGCCATCAGCTTACCTATCAGAAAGAACTACAGATGTCCTATGCACACCTAAAAAAATCATAATATAATAGCTGACGCATCTTGTCCTATGTGTAATTATCATAATGAAGATAATGAACACTTTTTTTATAAATTGTCCAGCATATAGCATTCAAGATAAAAATATGAAACGTTTTAAAGTACATTCCATTTTCATATGTATTCTTGTTTCTTTAAAAATATTAATATTCTTTATGCTTATTATACCCCCTGCTTAAAAAGTTGGAAGGTATACTGTAATCGGTACATATGGGGGCCCAGTGGTTCTTGAGAAGAAGTCAAAAATGTGAAAAGTTAATAGATGGACGGAAGACAGACAGCTGGAGACGGACGGACGACAGACAAAATATGATCAGAAAAGCTCACTGGAGCCTTCTGTACTGTATTTCATAACAACACCGTTATTAAATGTTTTTTCGGGCAACATTGATTATGTAAGCCCCCTCTGAACGAAAATATTGTCCCCCACGAAGCGGAGTTCGTGGAGGGCGATATTTCGTTTCGAGGGGGCTAACATAATCATTGTTGCCCTCAACCCCAGTCCATATTTGTATATTACATGTATCTAAAAATAGAAAATCAATTTTTAGATAACTTAAAAAATATTAGTGACTTAAATTGCTACACAGGAGACGTTTACCTTAATGATTTCTTGCCCCATGACTCCTCCCACAATGGCACACACTGGACTCAGCTCAGCAAAGCAGAAACTGTAAACATTTTAATATGTACAGGGTTAGCGTTGTTTTAAAATCAGCATCAGCAAAAATGTGGCTATTGCTCTAGACTATATCATTTTTACATATACAAATATATGCAAGAATAATTTTTTTGCAATTAAGCACACTGTCTGACGTACAAATGTAATTATGTGAAAATAAAGTTTCCGCAAATAAAAAGTGATTAAGAGTACCTGGCGAAGTCATCTGACAATAGGGTGGGGCTGAGCTTCAGTTTCTCCAGGGTTGCTGTTTTCTGTTCTATTAATAGCTTGATGTCGCTCTCTTTCTGTCTGACAAAAGGATATCTGTTGTTGTTATTCATAAAGTCGTGTAACACTGTAAACATAAAACAGATTCATCTCATAAAATTTTAACAAGAGTATTTAAATATGTAATTAAAATTAGGCTACATAAAATTAAATTCTGGTTCTCAGCCCTCGCGCATCCATTTTGAGGTAGCTACATTGGTAATTTTATTGTATTTTTGATAAAATAGGGAAAAAAGTTCATCCTCATCTTTACATTGTTTAGTACTCAAATATCACTCCAGGTAGCCATTTGCAAAGAAATCTGGCTACTTTATTTAAAAATACATTGAATAAGACATTGTCTACGATGTTCATATGCTGATAATCAATGGATAAAGCAAACTTTTTGATCATACATGGAAAGTATATTTGTGAATTTAAAAAATATCATTATTTAAAAAAAAATCGAAATTAAAATGAAAAAAATACCTCCCTCATCTACATTATTGCCAATAAAATGATACATAAAATGCCTCCCTGCCGCATCTGTTTTTTGAGAAAATTGACCTGAGAACCAGAGAACTAAATTTACATAGCCTTAGAATGTTTCAATTGAATTTAGATAAAAAATATTTGATTAAACTCAGATTGCATCTGAATTATCATATATGAAGTGAATTTTTAAGATTTGACACCTGAATTAGCATAACATGAAGATCTTTTTTAAATACTGAAGATTGGCAAATAATCACAATGGTTTCAATTTCGCTACGTTTTGTCATTTTACCGCGAAATTAAACCCGTATTGAATGCTATAATTATTTTGTTAAAACATTTAAATGCTTATACGAAATAACAATTTATTTCTTACAGCGTGAAATAAAAGCCATGATGATCGCAATTGGTACTTTTTGAGATATCGTGAAATTCTAACACCGTGGAAAACGACTTACAGTATACCGGGTATATATTTAATATTTCATGTGATTTAAATATTTCCGATCTTTACTCATTTGTTCAAATAAATTTGTGAATAGCGTTTTTTCCCCATAGAAATTACCATTAAGAACTCTTTAACTAAATTAAGGACAAAACATTGATGTAACCATCAAAGGTCGCCCGGGAATTATTGCCTGACGTCACGGCGTCAGGCTGTATAAGGATTGATAATTGCTTGATCCGAAACTAATATATCATACCCAGAGAGCTAGATTTTGTGCAAGCTGATTTACATTGGAAATCTTTTATCTGCATTTTAAAAGAAACTTTTTTTCAGGGAAACAATGATTTTACTGATGCAAAATAATGCAGTATTTACTTTGTTTACTCTGTTTGCATGAAACAGATTATTCCATGTGATTTACCGTTTCAACGTGTCCGTGTATCTTTTTTTCTGCATTTCTATACTACTGGATCAGTCCACTTATCTTCTACAAAAGGGGTGAATCGCTCTTTTCGCGCCAAATGTCACGAGTAAGCGATCTTCGCGCCTTTTCTTGGATTGTTCTGTTGTATGAATGGGGGTGCTAACTTCCATGGAATTAAATAAAGTTATTGTAACATCCATCTTCTTATGATTCAGAAATTCTATCTACAAATTATAGTTTATTCCTTAAAACAACATATGAATCGTATGTATCATAATATGGACAAGCAAAAACAAAATAAATTATTTCTCTAATTTGTTTCCCCTCTGTTGGTTTATTCCATATTTTAATGGACTAGTCCAATCACCACAAACGATCGACGCAGTTCAACCAGGTTCCAGACGATTTGACGAAAGAAATTACCTGTGCGAAATCTTGGATTTCTTTTCCACAAAGGCCTAAATGTAATATGTTGGTTTTACCTATTTTTCGTTCTCAAAAAATTATAGTACCCATGTTTCAGGGAAAAAAAAGATCAATGAACACAAACTACTACTGTTTACTTCATTGGAGAAAATGCTTTCCTACAACATATGTATTTAGTTATATCCAACCTCTAAAATGTTCACAATGAATGATTTGACAACAGATTTCAGAATAGGTGTAGCTTTAAATTTAGATCCAGGGGTAGATAAATCTACTTGCAGAAAAGGCAATCGCATCATCTCGGGTCCTTTCGTCAGAGGTCGAAAACATACTCGAATGTATCGATATCGATATCATCGGATATTAAAAATTTATATATTTCCTGTTCATAGTAAAAATGGAGTTAGAAGTCCCTTCTATAGTATATTTTAGATCATATCCATGGCACGCCAAATTCACAAAAATGAGATATACCTAGTTTCACAATTGATAAACTAGGTTTATTGACTGTAAACTATAGTTTACAAACCGTAAACTATAGTTAACGATTCGTTAAGTATAGTTAATGATTCGTTAAGTATAGTTTTCATCTGTAAAACTTTATTTAACGGTCGTTAACTATAGTTTACGAATGATAATCTAAGTTTATCTGTCAGTAATAAGCGTTAACAATAGATTTTGTTGATAAACATAGATTCACGTTTGTAAACTATAGTTTAAGATCGTAAACTATAGTTAAGAGTTGTTAATCATAGTTTCACAAATCGTGAAACAATATTTATCAGATCGTTAACTATAGTTAACGGTTTGTAAACTATAGTTTACAAATCGTGAAACTGTATTTATCAGATAATCTATGTTTTGCAATCGCAAATGATAGTTTTCGGTGTTAAGTATAGTTTACGGTTGTGAAACATAGATTATCGCGTTAACTATAGTTTACAGATGTAAAATATAGATTAACGTTGTTAACTATAGTTTACAGTCCGTAAACTATAGTTAACAACCGATAAACCTAGTTTATCGATTGTTAAACTATGTTTATCTCATTTTTGTGAATTTGGCGTGCCATAAATATCATTACATTGAATAAAGTTAACTCCATATTCCACAGAAAATATATACATCATCCATGCTTTTATTTCAAAGTTTGTGAAAGGGGGGTGGGGTGTCATGGCGTATAAATTAACAATACATTTGTGGTCTCGTTCCCTAGATAAGGACCGAGGAGTGGGACCGAGGAGTTGCGATTGGCATAAAAACCCACATACATTAACCATTCTGTTAACAACTCTTCAGAATGCAGCAAATGCATCGTTCTTTTACAAGTTAAAAAATTAAATATTTTTACAAGGTTCTCAAATAAAAAGACATACATGTATTTCAAACACAAAAAGTATTGCTCAAAAGGTTGATCACTTCTCTTACAGATATTGATTGATTACGTCAGGCAAGCTTTTTGAAAAGCTGTTACTTGTATAAAGTAAACAATGAAAATGAGTCTTGATCAACAAACCGCTTGATATGTATAAAAAGGCTTGGTCTAATATTGATGGAGACGATAGTCGAAAATATATGGATTATAACATCAAAGTGTCTAAATCAGCGTCATGTTTTATCTTTGCTGAAAATGAAGTTGGATAAGTCCGACTTAAATATAGGAATTTCATTCATACACATTCTTTAGTCTCCATAAACAGTTGAAGAACCAATATTGGTACCATCATACGATCTTCTGAAGATTTATTAGTAAGTTACGGACAATATTCTCACCATCATTCAACTTATAGAAAATCTCATATCGGCGGTCTTCTGTGACAGCGTCTTTTGCTATAACAATAGGAGTTTGTCCTTATGTTTTGTACTCCCCGGGTTCTCGATCAAAAAAGACTTCGCTAAGAAAACTCCCATTTCATTTGTATACTTAAGATACGGTGATATTTTTATAATCTTTTTTCTTCTGTGGTCATTTCAAGTCTCTTAAGGTGTCATTACAACATCGAAGTAAAACTGAACTGCTCTCCGGTGCGCCGTAACGTCATAAAACGTCGCCATTTTTCGTGTGTTGTGTTTACCACTTTCTCATTTTAAATGCTTGAGAAACTGCCAAAAATTAACCAAATGCCTTGAAATTTTTACAAAAACTACAAAATTGATTGTGAATTGAATTAGGATAATTTTAATCCATTTCCTATGTATTTAAAACTTTTATTTTGAATTCAAACTTGTGTATTCTTAATCAAACTTTGG